TGGGATAAGGGTAGGAGTTCCGGTAGCATAGTGCCTAAGGCACTTGACTGCTAACTAGAAGGCTGGCAGTTCAAACCCACCAGCCAGTCCTCGGAAGGAAAGTTGGGCAATCCACTTCCATAGTGATACCGCCTCGGAAACTCAAGGAGGGGTTGCTATGAGTCGGGGCCGACTTGATGGCACATTACAACAACAACATACTAAAAACTGTTTATCCATCATCAGTTGACAGGCATTTGTGTTATTTGTACTTTTTAGTTATTATGAATAAAGCTACTATGACATTTGTGTGTAAGTTTTTGTGTGGCTGCATGTTTTAATTTCTCTCGTGTGTATACTTAGAAGTTGTTGGGTCATATTATAGTTATATTTCCAACTTTTTGAGGAAATGCCTAACTATTTTCCCCAACTCTTGCTAAGTGCTATCGAGTTGGTTTCAACTCATAGTGACCCCACGTACAACAGAATGAAATACTGCCCGGTCCTGCACCATCCTCACAATCATTGCTTTGTTTGAGCTCATTTTTGCAACCACTGTGCCAATCCATCTCGTTGACAGTCTTCTTCTCTTTCACTCACTCTCCATTTTACCAAGCGTGATATCCTTTTCCAGGGACTGGTCCCTCCTGAGAACATGTTCAAAGTACATGAGGCAAAGTCTCACCATTCTTGCTTCTAAAGAGCATTCTGGCTGTACTTCTTTCGAAACAGATTTGTTTGTTCTCTAGCAGTCCATTATATATTCAATATTCTTTACCAACACCATAATTCAAAGGTATCAATTCTTTGGTCTGTCTTCTTCATTGTCCAGCTTTTGCATGCATATGAGATGAATGAAAGCTCTATGGCTTGGGTTAGGCACATCTTAGTCTTTAATATGATATCTTTGCTTTTTAACATTTTAGAGAGGTCTTTTCAGCAGATTTTTCCAATTTTCCACAGTAGCTTACCATTTTTCATTCCTACCAGCAATGGGTGAGGGTCCCAGTTTCTTCACAACCTCACCAATACTTGCTGTTTTCCATTGTTTTTTTTCATGATTGTCATTCTAATAGTGGTGAGGTGGTATCTCACTGTAGGTTTGATTTTCATTTCTCTAATGACTAATGATGTCATGCATCTTTTGAGAAATGTCTGTTAAAATTTTTTGCCTATTTTTAAAAATGAGGTTATTGGTCTTTTTATTGTTGAGTTTTAAAAGTTCTTTACATATTCTAGATACAAGTCCCTTATCAAATATATGATTTGCAAATATTTTCTGCCATTCTGTCAATTTCACTTTCTTGATTATATTGTTTGCATCAGAGAGGTTTGAAATTTTGATATAGTCCAGATTATTTACTTTTTCTTTTGATGCTTTCTGGTGTCATATTAAGGAGTCATTGGCTAATCCAACATCACCAAGACTTACTCCTATTTTTTCTTATAAGAGTTTTCATAGTTTTAGCTCTGACATTGAGGCCTATGATCCATTTTGAGTTAACTTTTGCATCTGTCATTTTACGACTTTCATTAGTTTTGTAATATTCTTGGTCATTATCTCTTCAAATATTACTTCTGTCTCATTCTTTTCTTTTTTTTCCCCCAGACTCCAATTACATATATGCTAGTTTCTTTTCATACCTTAAAGCTCTATTCTTTCTCTTCTTCTTTCTCTCTGTAATTTGGTTAAAGTATTTTTTCTTGACATGTCCTCAAATTTACTAATCTCCTTTTTTGCTATGTCTACTCAGCTGTTAAACCTATCAAGTTCTTCTGTTTTGTTGAAAATATACATAACAAAATATACATCTATTCAACAATTTTTACATGTACAGTTCACTGACAATGGTTACATACTTCACATTGTGTCACCATTATCATTGTCTTCACCCATATTGTTTACTACCATTAACTTGGACTCTCTGTCTCTCAAAGTTCTCATTGGTGTTTTATAATTACTGTTGTCATTTTTATCACATGTGATTTTTTCAATGTATCCAATGCTCAGAGAAAACATTCTTTATTGAGCTAAACTGTTGTTTAGTTCAAAGATGACTCCATAGGATAGTTTCAGTTCAAAGTTTAAAAGTTGTTTCCAGGCAATAGATTAATAGATTAGTTGTTTCCAGGCTTTTCTGATTCCTGGATCTTATTCTTCCTCTTTTGCTCCGGGTGAATAGAGACCAATTGTTGTATCTTGGATGGCTGTTTGCAAGCTTTTAAGACCGTAGGCACTACTGTCCAGTGAGTAATTGATTTCAGATACACAAAAAGGCAATATTTTTCCTTTTCTATTTTTGAAAGTTATGCCTCATGATGAATTTAAAAACTGACTATCTCAGGTGTATATATTATCTCAAAGCAAGATATACTTGCATTCACTTATGACTTTTATGTGGCACAAACGGTTAAGTGCTCAACTACTAGTCAAAGGGTTGGAAGTTCAAACCCACCCAGTAATACCTCAGAAGATCTGCTTCTGAAAGGTCACAGCCTTACAAATCCTATGGAGCAGTTGTACTCTACACACATGAGATCACTATGTTGGAATTGACTCGACAGCAATTAACAACAATTACCTCAACAACTGTAGATAGCCAGGAAGGATAACTTTCACACAAGAGAAAACAATAATAATGGAGTGAAAAATTAAAGAGAGACTGAATAGAAGCACTGTAAAACCAGGAGGGGAGATGTTGGTGGGAAAGAAACAGGAGGTTTTTAGCTTACATGTCTTTAAAAACAGAACTCATGCAATCCCAATACCAGGTATAGTATATATAGGTAATCTTGCCTCATGGTTCTACAGACCAGGTTGTAATGTGAAAACTGGCATTATGAGAAAATGGAGGATGACCACATCAGATCATAAAATAGGGATGCTAGATCATTATATAGGAGCTCTGGTAGTGTAGTGCCTAAAGCACTTGACTGCTAACCAGAACGCTGGCTATTCAAACCCACCAGCCACTCCACAGAAGGAAGGTTGGGCGATCTACTTCTGTAGTGATACTGCCTTGGAAACCCAAGGAGGGGTTGCTATGAGTCAGGGCTGACTCGATGGCACATAACAACAACAACAACAACAGATCTTTATATAACTGCCAAGTGATATCATTACATAATTGCCTAATTACATCATTACATAACTGCCAAACCACTGAAATACATGGCCCAGCTTAGTTGACACATTAACTACGGCATTCATTACAGCTAGACACACGTTGTTAATGTGCAAAATAGTCAGATAGTAAATTTCTTACTACTATCATAAATATTTAATGTTGGGTAGTGAGATAGTTGATAACTGAGGAGTAGGTGTATGCATTTTTCCACTATATATATTTTTATTATGGTAAATATATAGGCAACAAAACATTTGCCATTTCAACAATATTCACATGTATAGTTCAGTGACATTATGTTCATAAAATTGTTCAACTATCACCATGAACTATTCCCAAATTTTTCTATTGCACTGAACAGAGGCTAAGTGTCCCCTAAGCATTGTCTTCCTTTGACCCTCCCTGCTGCTCACCCCTGGTAACACTCTAATAAACTTTGTTCTCTAGGTGTTTCATATAAATGGTATCATATAACACTTTTCCTTTTGTGTCTGATTTATTTCACTCAGCATAATGTTACTATATCTATTTTTACCACAATAAAATAATTTTTAAAAAAGATCTCAATTAGGAAAAGAAAGAAAATCCAATTGTGAGTAGGTTAAGGTGGATAAAAAGGAGCCCATGTGGTACAATGGTTAAATACTTGGCTGCTAACGGAAAGGTTGGCAGTTTGGACCCACCTGTAGCACTATGGGAGAAAGACCTGGTGATCTGTTTCCTTCAGATTACCACATGGAAAACACTGTGGAGCAATTCTACCCTGAATACTGGGGTCTCTATGAGTCCAAATCACTCTATGGCAACTAACAACAAAAAAGTGGATAAACTATAATTCTGTTAAGACTATGATTGTTGTTATGCCATGGAGTTGATTCCAACTCATAGTGACCCTATAGGACAGACTAGAACTGCCCCAGAGGGTTTTCTATGCTGTAATCTTTACAGGAATATATCACTAGGTCTTTCCTCCTGCAGAGCTACTGGTGGGTTCCAATAACTGACCTTTCAGTTAGCAGCCGAGCTTCATCGTGCCACCAGAGCTCCTTAAGACTGTGATTGAGTCACCATTACTAATTCTACCATGCTGCCTATTTTATCCTTATTCCTGTAAATCTCAATTCATAATTAGGAGTATATATTTTTTGTCTTGGTTCAAATTCCATTTCTGCTTCACCTCCCTCAAAAGGATACACTACAGTATTCACTAGATTTGTCCCTTTAGGCCCTGGGTTCGATTCCTCCTAGATCTTTGCTGATATAATAATGAAATGTATGCAACAGAAGCCATAATCAATAAATCAGGTTTCAAACATTCTTTTAGCTTTACCTATCTGGGGTAGGGTAAGAAGGTTGCTATTTCCGACTGTATCTATACGTGGGATGTTCCAGGTAGCTGCGTGACGTTTATAATTGCCCATGTCTCTAAGAAAACGTGTGTCCAGCTCCAGCAAGCGCTGTAGTGTCTAAGAGCCATCTCGCAGAGGCCCAGATCTGGGGCTTCTGGTCTTCTCTACTTCCGGTCTCGTCCCCTCCTCCCCGGTTGCTAGGAGACGTGATGTCACCGGAAGCAAAGACAAGGATAGGCTGAGGCGAAGGGAAGCCTCTCCCCCTCTGCAACCTCGGCGCCGGCGCTGACTCTCCAGCTGTTCGTAGGCCCAGAGGTGAGGGTCCTCTGAAGGTATAGCTGGCTGCCGCTCCACCTGTCCACTCGTTCACCTGTTCCCGCCGACCCTGCCCTCCCCTGGGGCAGGCTGCCTGGCGGACAGCTTCGGTGCAGCTGACTGTTTTTCTGACTGACAGGCACGGTTCCCCACAGTTCGCGCTGCCCGCCACGTCCCTGGTCTCGGCAGACAACACTGCGTGGCGGGTGACCTTTCAGAGCCTAGAGCGATGACGGCTCCCTGTTCTCAGTTGGCCCGGCTTCCTCAGCGCCACTGGTTCCGCTTCGTGAGTTTCTTGCGGCCACAGCCCGTGCTGCTGTTGCTTCTGCTGGCGGCCGTGCGTCCGGCGCGCGGCTGGGAGAGCGGAGACCTAGAGTTGTTTGACTTGGTGGAGGAGGTGCAGCTCAACTTCTACCAGTTCCTTGGGGTGCAGCAGGTAAGCAAGGCCGGCAAGACTGGCCTGAGGACTGCGCCTAGTTCAGCGCCTCCCGGCCAAAACGTGCGGGTCCAGGCAGAAAGGAGAGGATGGGGCGGGCTTTGACCCCTTTCCTTCTCTGGGACCCACGCTTGTCAGGACTTTTTCACTCTTGGCTCTGGCTGTCTTCCTCTACTTGGTCCGCCAGGGACTCCTCGTAACCCCAGCCTTGGAAGAAATTGCCCGCTTTTCCCCGGTTCCTCACCACCTTTCACCACTTATTAAGTTCCGGTTTTAGTGACAGGCTAAACGATGCCACCAACTTTTTCTTTCCTCTGGCATTCTTTCAAGGCCTTTTCCCTAGTGGAAGGAAGAGTGGTGTGGGTAATAGACCCGTTTTACACGTACTCTGCCCTCCTGCACATGGGAAACGGTAGCCGTGTCCCGACCTAAAATTTCATTTTTTTTACACTTACCCATATTCTTTAAATTGCTTCCTTTCTTTTCCTCTTCCTGGGAGATAGAAATGCATTTTTGCTGCGTCTGTTTTTGCAGTTTTTCTTTTACTGTAATTTGTAATCTTTCTAGCCTGTTGAATAGGGATTCGTTACATAGTTTGGAAGTCTGGAGGAACTTGAAGCTTCTCCTGGGTTGGTCCTAAAACTTAAAGGAGCAGTTCCTAAGTTTTCTGAGCAGTATAGTTACTGGGTGCTTTACGAAGAGACTCCCAGCCAATGGGGGCAGGATCATTCTTTCCCTTTTTTTCATTCTCCTCTCTTTCCCTTTCCTTTTATTTTTCCTTTTACTGCTGGCATCGAGGCAGACACACAGTCTCTAGCTGAAGCCTAGTACCCAGGAGAAGATGACATTTCAGTGGTTTAGTATTTCACATGATCTATTTCATGGAATGCTTGAATAGTCATGGAAGTAAAGAAAAAAATTAAGATTATTAACAACTGTCAGTAAAGGCACATGCCACGTGCTTAAATATGTAATGTGCATCCCCCTTCCCATGTTGTTGTTGTTGTTATGTGCCGTGAGTCGGACCCGACTTGCAGCGACCCTCTTTGGGTTTCCAAGGCAGTATCACTACCCTCGGAAACCCAAGGAGGGGTCGCTATGAGTCGGGTTTGACTCGACGGCACATAACAACAACAACAACAACAATCACTACGGAAGTAGATTGCCCCATCTTCCTTCCGAGGAGTGGCTGGTGGGTTTGAACCGCCAGCCTTCTGGTTAGCAGTCAAGTGCCTTGTCATAAATTTGTGTGAACTAGTCAATTTACACTAAATAGAAATTTAATTTCCAAACATTGTCTTTTCATTGTTATTTGAATATAAAATTGCAATGTTGCTATGACACAGTGAATTTAACAATTTTAATTTGGTAAGAGTTATGAAATGTAAAGATTTCACATTTTAAGGTTTCATGTGCAAATAATTATGTAATAACTGTCAGCATTTATGCTCTGTAACCTGGTGCCATTTCCTGATCATAGAGAAAAAATATACCTCATTTTCAAAGTAAGGGGTCATTCAATAGTGTAAAAATAGTTTGTAAAACTATGCCTTTTAAAATTAACTTTTAAGAATGCCTTTAGTAATAAGAATAATTGTTTAGATTGATCATTGATTAAATTGTGTAGCTAGATAAGAGTCTTACACATCACCTACTCAAAGACCTTAAAGAGTCTTTTCAGTTTTTCATGGAAAATTAAGCCCCTTTAAGGGAATGGGTCTGCAGTAGTTTAAAATTTAGGCTATGTAATCTAGATTGACATGTGAATTCTCACAAAACTTTCATTTATAATTTCATGCAACTGAATTTGGAGTTAATTAGGCAGTGTGGAAAACCAGAACACTTAGATGTATGGGCAATGAATGGAAAATAAAAAAACATAGATAATTTCAAAGAAAGATCCAGAAAAAATGTTTTAATCTGTATGTCTTTTTCCAACTGTGTTGAATTCAGAAAGAATGTTGGAAGAACTCTTACTTTTTTTAAGCAGAGAATTTGATTGTAATCAGTTCTTTACAGAGGAGCTCTGGTAACATAGTGCCTAAAGCACTTGACTGCTAACCAGAGGCCTGTGGTTCGAACCCACCAGCCACTCCACTCCTCGGAAGGAAGGTTGAGCAATCTACTACCATAGTGATACTGCCTTGGAAACTCAAGGAGAGGTTGCTATACAGTGAATCTTAACTTGCTTGGAAAACTTTCAGGGGACCAGACATTTGGTAGACACAATTGCAGCCTATCTTAGATTCTTTTTATTTATTTATTTTGTTGTTGTTGAGAATATTCACAGGCCAGCCATTTCTACATATACAGCTCAGGGACACTGATGACATTCTTTGAGCTGTACAACCCTTCTAACCCTCCTTTCCTGAGTTGTTCTTCTCTCCTTGAGGTAAACTCACTGCCCTTTAAGTTTCCTATCTGATCTTTTGAGTTGCTTTTGTCATTTTGATCCCTATAGAGAATTCTTAAGAGAGCATACTGCTGAGGGCTGACATTGTTTACTAGTTAAGCTAAACTATTGTTCCATTTTAATAAGACTTAAGGGAATATTTTGGTTTAAAGTTTAAAAACTATCTCAGGGCAATAGTTTCAGAGGTTTATCCAGCTCCATGGCTTTAGAAAATGTGGAGTTCATGAAAATTTAAAATTCTGTTCTGCATTTTATCTCTTTTGATCAGGATTCTTCTATAGGATCTTTGATGCAATTGTTCCGTAATGGTAGCTGGGCACCATCCAATTCTTCTGATCTCCTGGCAAAGGAGGCAGTTGTTCACAGAGGCTAAATTCTTAATTTGTGTTTTTCAAGTCATAGCCAAGCAATCTCTTGGTATATGAGGATCTGGGACAAAGACAATAGGCTATTCAGAGTGGTGACCTGGTTAAATGCACTAATTAGTTTTGATTTGTTCAACAGAGATTTATTTGGTGTGCACTAGATTTTAAGCAGGGAGCTCTGGTAGCGTAATGCCTAAGTCACTTGACTGCTAACCAGAAGGCTGGGGGTTCAAACCCACCAGCCATTCCTCAGAAGGAAGTTTGAACAATCTATTTCCATAGTGATACTGCCTTAGAAACCCAAGGAGGGGTCATCCAACTCAAGGGCACATAACAACAACAACCAGATTTTAAGACTGAGTTGGCTAGTATATAAAACAAAGTTCCTAGCCTCATGAAAATTACATTCCAGTAGGGGAAAACAGATAGTAAGTAACCAAACAAATAAAGATAATGATCAAATTATCTTTAAGTTAAAGAAGGCCTCTGAAAGAACTAAGGAAGTGAGCCATGTAGATAACTGGTGGAAGAGCAATAGAAGAAGAATGAATACAAAGGCCCTGAGATAGCAGCTTCCTTAGTGTTTAAGGAATAGCATTGTGCCCAGTAGGACTGGAGCAGAGCGAATGAGGAGGTTAATAAGAGATGGGATCAGAGTCTTCAGTGGGCCGGGGCAGATAATGGGATTTATAGGCTGTTGCAAAGACTTTGACTTTTACTTATAAGTAAATTTGGGATCTGCAGTATGCTGGTGTTTGAACAGAGGAGGGATATGATTTGATTTAAATTTCAATATGATAACTTTTGTGTACTGCATATTGTCTGTAAGTCATTAATTAGTGTGTCAATTGTGTTTTGGACCTGGGTGGTAGCAATGGAGGTGATAAAAAGTGGTCAGATTCTGGATTTAATTTCAACATAAAAATGACAGAACTTTATTGATGATTTGAATGTAGGCTGTGAGAGAAAAAGAGCAACTAAGGATAATTCTAAAGATTTTAGCATCAGTAACTAAAAGAATACAGTTTCAACTTTATTCAGTAGGGGAGTATGGATAAGAGTGGGTTTGGTAAGGGAAAAATCAGGAATTTGGTTTTGATCTTGCAAAACATTCTGTCTGTGTGTTAAACATCCAGTTGGAGCTGGCGTGTAGGCAGTTAGTTATGTAAGTCTGGAATTACAAGGAGAAAGATTTGGGCTGTAGAAATAAATTAGAGAGTCCTTGGCATATTTTGAATTTTGACAAAATTTGAAGCCACAAAATTGGATTCACCAAGGTAGTGAAATGTGAAAAAGAGAGAGAGAGAGAGGGAGAGAGACGGGGAGAGAGAGAGGGAGGGAAAGACATAGAGGAAGTAGAACTTGGGACAAAGCCTTGGGGACTCTAAAAGGTAGATGAGGAGGAACTAGGAAAGGAGATGGAAATGGAGCAGCCAGTGAGGTGTGAGGTAGAGCAAGAAATGGTAGGCTCCATCAAATTAAGTGCAGAATGTATTTTAAAGAGGAGAAAGTGAGGTTAAATACTGAAAATAAATCAGATGAGTTCTGAGAATTGACTGTTACCTTTAGTAGTGTGGTGGTCATTGGCTATCTCAGCAAGACCTGTTTCAGTTGTGTTGTGTGATTGATAATCTCATTAGATTGGGTTCAGGAAAGAACAAAGGGTAAGAATTGAAGACAATTATTATACAAAGTTCTATAGTAACTAGAAGCTGTTCTTGTTGTTATGTGCCCTTGAGTCAGACCCAACTCATAGGGACCCCTCCTTGGCTTCCCCAGGCGGTATCATTATGGAAGTAGATTGCCCAACCTTCCTTCTGAGGAGTGGCTGGTGGATTTGAACAGCCAGCCTCTGGTTAGCAGTCAAGTGCCTTAGGCACTAGGCTACCTGCCCTCAACTCTGTAATCAGAATGACTGATGAATTTTAAAACTTGAATTAGGCATTTCCTGGTGTTACGATTTTGGGCAAATTAGTTGGCTCATTTTTAGGAAAGATGGCATCTTTCTTATTTATGTACTTATTTAGATACATAGTGTTGCATCCAGATCTTGAATCCCCAAAAACCACCGAGGAACCGATTCCACTGCAAAAGCATGTTGTTGTTGTTGTTGTTATGTGCCATCGAGTCGGCCCCGACTCATAGCGACCCCTCCTTGGGTTTCCGAGGCAGTATCACTACGGAAGTAGGATT